CCACTCGGCCCCACTTGCACTCATGATACGCGGCTCGGCTGGCGCGGCACACGGAACGCCGCGCGGAGGCCGATTTGCATAGGGCTGGTTCGGGGCGACGAATTGCTCCTGAAATTTTCCCTAGGCCCGTTAGCGAGTCTCGACAGCGAGTCTCCCTCCACCTCCTGCGATTTTCCCTACACCCGAGAGTGAGGTGCCCTGCAGGGTTTCGCCTCACCGCACGCTTGCTCTCCTCCGGTTCCGCCCGTCCTGCCCTCATGCGATGACCTGCTCCGGTTCCGCCAGTCCTGTGATTTTCCGTGGGCCCACAACTTCGTTTGACGGCGGGACCGCTGTAACTTTGGCAGAATTTCAGTAGTACAGGCTAACTTAGGCAGGGTTGAAGAGTGGTACATCCTTCCTTCTGGAAGTAATCAATGCCGTCCTTCGGGTCTCCACACCATGAGGTGGAGGAGCATGAGTGAACAGTGATCATATAATGTAATCCCTTCTGACTTGCCGGTGGAATAGACACCGGACTGATGCTCCCCAGAATGGAAAAGGAGCCTGAACCATAAGGTTTTGTTTTTTCTTTATAAAAAAAAAAGAAAAAAAAAAGGACGGGGAATGGTAAGTGCAGTTTGCTTGCCTACCTGCATTTCCCTCCCACCCAGTCCTTTGTCTGCTTTCCCGGTTTGGTAAGTGCCATGTCAGCGGTGCCACGTCAGCGGTGCCATGTCAGCAGTGCCACATCAGCAGTGCCACGTCAACAGCAGTGCCACGTCAGCAGTGCCATGTCAGCAGCAGTGCCATGTCAGCAGTGCCACGTCAGCAGTGCCGCACCAGCAGTGCCATGTCAGCAGTGCCACGTCAGCAGTGCCCCGTCACCATGCCGGCTCCAGCTTTGTGCATGCTGGGCCAACTTGCCGGCGAGTCCATTGCCGATTTCCGCAAGCGGATCCAAGATCAGCTCGCGCAGATCGAGGCTGAGGAACAGCGCCAGGCGGAAGCCGAGGCTGCCCGTCCACAGGCTGAAGCAGAGGCAGCCGCTGAAAAGCAGCGCCTTCAAGCTGCAGCTGACGCAGATGCCCAGGCCCGCTGCAAGCAGGCCCGAGATCTGCTGCAGCGGCACGAAGCCGCCAGCGTCGACAGGCTCAAGTCTTGGCACTTTGAACCATCCGAGGGCCACGACGACGCAACACCGGAAGAGCAACACGAGGAGTTTCTCTCCAAACTCGTGACCTGGTTGGTTTACACTTGTAAGCAACTGCAGTCCGAGTTAGAGAAACAAAACTGGAGAATCTCCGACAGACAGTGCTTAACCACAAGGGTCTGCACGAGGATGCCACACGCGCACTTCATACCCGTGTACATGACTTGGAGCAAGCAGCATCAAGACCAGATGCTGGCGAACCCAGCAATGCAGCCTCAACCCGCCAGTTGGAGCAACGACTCGACCATGTACTCGCGATGCTCGGCGACATCAACACTTTCCCCGCACCAGCCATCATCAGCGAGCAGCTCGGCACCTTGAAGACCGAGGTTAGGCAGCTACAGCAGCCGCCCACCAACAATGGCAGCACTGGTGCACCGCCACAGTACAAGATGCCAACGTTCCGGATTGAGAAGTTTGATGACTATACGCATCAGGACCCAGTCATCTGGTGGCAGGCCTTTACGAGGGAGATTCAGATTCATCGGGTCCCCGACTACTTGTACATCTCGGCGCTGTTCCTCAACGCCACGGGTGGATGCCAGATCTGGCTCAATGACATGGCAACCATCCACGACGTCCAGGTCACCGACCTTCATCAAAAGATCTCATGGGAAGATCTGACGAAGGAATGGAAGAAGCGGTTCATCGTTGACGACGCCCCGGCGCTCGCCATCAATCGCCTCTTCGCCATGACTCAAAGCAAAACACCGACACGCGACTGGATCATGGAATGGCAAAAGATTGTGGAAACACCCGATCTCGACTTGCCATTTTCGCATCTGCGCTGCGAGTTCTACAACCGGTCGTGTGCCGCCTTGAGCCTCTCTCTCGGTGATCGTGAAAAGTACACGACCTTCGCCGAAATCATCGATAAGGCTCGTGAGATCGTCAAGACCAACCGGGCTGCCACACACGAGAAATCCGCGTCACATCCTGCCTATGTGAAGAAAGGAAAATTTGGTCAGCGTCCGCAGTCCGTCACAACAGTCTAACCGGACAACCTTGTGGAAGACCCGACACCCACCCCAACATCACGTGATGGAGATCAGGTGGCCGCCGTCCAGCCGTGAAGCAACAACAAATCCCGTGGAAAAGGGAAGGCGAAAACATCATCCCCGACCGGAAACGGACAGCCAGTACCATGGGTCAAGTTTAGCTTGACCGAGGTCGAATACAAGTGGCGCAGCCGGTATGGCTGCGGCTATTGGTGCAACAGCACCAAGCACAAGACCTCCCAATGCCAAGACCAAGGCAAGGAGGATGTTCAAACTCGAACCAACTCGGGAAATTGAGCCGCGTAGGAGGTGAGGCGACTCCACCTCTCACTCTGCCAGATTCGGTTGCCTTGCTAGTGGCCTCCTACGCATCTGGGGAGAACGTGGATGTCACAAGTCCTCAATACACTTACGCGGATTACGTTGTCCACTCGGTCCCACCGTTGGACCAGCCACTCCACGTGTAAGACTCCACCACATGCACGGTTTCATCACCATCGGCAACCGATTCGGCAGCTTCGCCGCCAATTTTCGTCGGGGACTCGACGTCATGGTCAAGACCTGAGGAACTTGACCCGTTGACGATTGCGGACTTCCAATGGATGCCCCTTCCCCCGAACGGTCGATTGTCGAAACCGCATTGCAACGTGCTCATGGCACGATTGCGGGAGTACTTGCACACTGCAGTACCAGCTCCGTTGATGGATGCTGGAGTAAAGGTTGTCGACTTTCGCGATTACCTTGCGAAGATCGACCGCGAGTACAAGACACAACGGTACGACAACAACGACGCACCATTGTTGTACGTACGCATTCAGATCGGAGAAGCGACCTGCAACACTTTGATCGATTGCGGAACAACTCACAATTATATGAGCCAAGATTTTATGGTATGCGCTGGCCTTGGGCCACACACTCGGAGGAAGTCGCAGCCCACGCAACTTACGTTGGCCGACGGTCACACGCACAAGTCAATCGACCGGTACATTGATTCCGTCCCCATGTACTTCGCCCTGCATGCAAGCGAGGCTGTGTTCTTTGACATTTTGGACACCAAGTTCGACATGATTTTGGGCATGTCGTGGCTGCAAAGCGAGGATCACCCGGTGGACTTCTACCGCCGCACCATTCACATTCGTAATCGGAACGGGGTACTAGTCCCGTGCACAGTTCCTCCACCTCACCCTTCGATCAGCTGTCACGTGGTGTCCGCCGCGAACATTCGAGCTTCCATCACACGGGACGACGTCGAGCTCCCTTCCCATGACAACCCATCAACGTACGCATCGACAGACCCACGCATCACCAAGCTTCTTGACGCCTAAGGCGACGTTTTCAAAGCCCAACACGGAGTGGTACCAAATCGGCCAATCCGCCACGAGATCATTCTCGAGGTCGGGGCCGTACCTCCGTGTGGTTGATTTTTTTTATTTTTATTTTTTTTGGGACAAATGCTCCAGTCTATTCGTGGGGAGCAGCATGTGCTGGGAACCGGGCCCAGCGTCCCATGTAGAGTTACACACGCTATTTGAGGTACCGGGGCCATTACCCGGCTTCGGCTGAGAATCAATCTGAGAACTATTGAGAACTATTGAAGAAATTCAAGAGTTCAAGATAATTAAACATTTAGAAAAACTTGGGTAATTGTTGGCCTGTTGCTAAGCTACTGAATACTCAAAATCCCTGGACTCCTTAGCAAAACCCTCTAAAATTCTCCAACACTGTCTTATTCCCTGCTGAGCTCTCCCAGGCCTCATGCCCCTACCTTGCTAGGTTACAGGGCAACACGACTCACCCCAACTCCGGCCAGCGTCGTCCCGACAACAACCCTTGGTTTTCCCTTAGAATGCCCGCCCCTAGGCATCCCCAGATCTCTCTACCAGGCCTCACGCTCCTGCTATCAACAGGTTACAGGGCAACCCCCCAACACCGGCAAACGTCATTCTGGCATCGGAAAACCACAGATCCATGAATATGAATATGACTGCATCAAAGAAGCCAAAAGTGAGTTGTAAGAAGTACCAAAAACCTAAAGCATTTTCAAGACCACTCAAACAAACAATCCACCCTCATTCCTCCAACCCCCTACTCTTCTTCATCCCCCGACGAGCCGACCTCCTCCACCACATAGTTCGCGGGATGAGAGGAACAGCCGCACCCACACAACGCACACCTTCCTCAACTATTCCTCATGTCACAACGAGCCGACCTCCTCCACCTATAGTTCACAAGATGAGGAGTGGCAGAAATCAGATGAACTCACTAATTTGTGCCCTTACTCAATAAGCGCAGCACTATACTTCATCAGAAAACCATCAGAAAACATCCTCCCTCTTCCCTTCAACCCCCTACTCTTCATCATCTTCCGACGAGCCGACCTCCTCCACCACATAGCTCGGAAGATAAAAAAAAACAGTAGACAACAACCTAACCCAATCCCGTAGTGGTTGGAAACAGACTTCAACTGTTCATCTTCCTTCGATGAGCCGACCTCCTCCACCACATAGTTCGAAGAAGAAGAATGGAAGTAGTCCCATAATAACCTTTGAGTGGGTTTAACGAGCCAGCAACAATCATCCTCCCTCTTCCCTCCAAACCCCTACTCTTCTTCACCCCGCGACGAGCCGACCTCCTCCACCACATAGTTCGCGGGATGAGAACAACAGCCACAACCACACAACGTACACCTTCCTCAACACATTCCTCCTCTCACGACGAGCCGATCTCCTCCACCCATAGTTCGCAAGAGGAGGAAAGGCAAAAATCAGGTGAACGCCCTCACCCTAATAAGCGCAACACCAACCCCACATACCTCTTACCTCTTTCCTCTTTTTTTTTTTTTAAACAAAAACATATGCACTATTTAAAAAATGACTCAGACACCCCAAATCAATCCCCTATACCTCACTCCGACAAGACTTACTGCAGTTGAGCCACCATCTCCGCTGCTGTTGTACTCTATTCCCATCCTACCAGCTAGCCCCCTTACTAGTAAGACGCATGATATCCCACCTTCTCCTTCTCCCCCTCACCTCGATCTCTTGAAAAAAACATCCGAGCAATACGGAAAACATGGGAATAGACCGCATAGGTCTGATTAGGGATGTCTCATTGCTGTTTTGATATCTCCTGATATTTTCTGATCTTGACATCCGACGGATGATCTGTAAATATGATTTTTGTCTGATTTTTGTTTGATTTTTGTCTGATTTTCAATTCGTAATTTCCTCTTTTCATAAATTGATGGTCGACTATTTTGTTTTGTACTCATATAACCATCTAAATTAGTCTTCAGATTACAACATCTGGTAAATTTTCTGACCTACTTTATGTCTCAAATTCCCAAAGAACAATTCTAGTCGGGTATTCTAATTCGTAAAATCTTTATACTTGCTGGCAAGAAATTCATAAGTATACTCTGATGTTGATTTTCAAAAAGCCTATCGAAAGTCCTATTTGGACATTTTATTTGTAAATGTCAATAGTAGTTCATATAGGTTTTCTAAATTTCGTCGTAGATAGATCTTCTAAATTGTCATGATACTATTTTCTAATTTGTCATGATTCGATTTTCTAATTTGTCAATGATTCATGATGAATTCTACCTAATCTAATGATCTTGGTTACTTTGATGATTTTGTTTTAAACTTTCAAACTTTGACGTGATTTTCCATGTTCCAATTAGTGTTTTCTGATAAGGCTTCTCTCATTGGAGACTGTTAGCAAATCCTCTTAGATATGTCTGTTGCTGTCATAATTGTGGATCTGCGGTTTTTTTATGCGAGAACGACGCTGGTCGGTGCTGGGGTGTTGCCCTGTAATCTGCGAAGCAGGAGCATGAGGCCTGGTAGAGAGATCTGAGGATGCTTAGGGGCGGGCATCTCACAGAATAATCAAGGGTTGCTGCTTGGAGGATGTCGGTCGGAGCTGGGGTAAGTTGTGTTGCCCTGTAACCTAGCGGTGGCGGTGTGAGGCTGGGCAGACTCAGGCAGAGAGTATGATTGCGTTGGCAAGCCTAAGTAGGGTTGTTATAGTCTCCTTGACTTTTCTGCAAATTGTCAACTAGGTATTTTTTTAGCCAAAAAACATACGATTAAGGGAAGCAGATTATTCGCACGGACGGGTGGAAGTTCGTATGGGGGTGTAACAGGGGAAGGGCCTTAGTCTTCGTCAGTAGGTCAGAAGGACGTGGGTGGGACGACGCAGGCCGGTGCTTAGCGTTGCTCTGTAGCCTGGGGGAGCGTGAGGCTTGGGGAGCTCTGTCAAGGAAGGAAGGCAGAACCACCACGTTCGACGCAGCCGTTGCTGGGGTTTTATCCCTATCACCTAGGGGCAAGCGGCTAATGGGAGTTGTCGAGGGAGGAAGGCACTCCTTGCCGTTTATACCAGGCTGGTCGGTAATGGGGCATGGTGGTGCCTTGTAAACCTATCATAGGGGGTTATGAGACCAGCCGCGTTTAGGTTCGAGGACTGATCACGGGGACTTTGTTTTTTCCAATTGTTGCGTGGGAAGTTTGGTAGTCAGTGGTTTCGGTTCAGATTTTTGCTTTCAATTTGTTGTATGTCACTCATGTCCTATCTCGTAAAAAAAAAAACAAAAAAAAAACAGGTGATGTGTTCGGATATGGCTATCCTCTAGAGGTTGTGATTGTTTCGGTGGTTGCGGTAGAACACTTTTAGGCTCTTGGGACTCCTTGCAATTTCCTTGAGGCGATTTTTGATGTTGTTTTATTTATGGACTTGTGGTTGTTCGATGCCAGAACGACGCTGGCCGGTGCTGGGGGGTTGAACCTATAACTTGTTGACAGCAGGAGCTTGAGGCCTGGTAGAGAGATCTGGGAATGCCTAGGGGGGGCATTTCACGGGACAATCAAGGGTTCCTATCGAAGACGATGCTGGCCGGAGCCGGGGTGAGTTGCCTTGCCTTGTAACCTATAGCGGGGGTGAGAGGCTTGGTAGAGCTTGGTAGGGAATAAGATAGTGTCTGAGGACTTCGAGGGTGTTAGGACCCTCTGGCGCTTTAGAGTGTTTGAAGACGATTGCTGGGTTTTTCGCTGGTGGATAGTCTCCCAAATTTACCTCAAATAGCATTGAATGTCGTTAAAAAAAGAGAAAATGTTTTAGGATCTGGGGACTTCTAGCAACTTGCTTTAGGCTGTTTGATACTGATACGTTCATGGATCGGCGGTTGTTCGATGCCAGAACGATGCTGGCCGGTGTTGGGGTGTTGCCCTGTAACTTGCTGATTGGAGGAGCGTGAGGCTTGGTAGAAAGTTCTGGGGATGCTTTGGGGTGGGCATTCCAAGGGACAATCAAGGGTAGCTGTTGGGACGACGCTGGCCGAAGCTGGGGCGAGTCGTGTTGCTCTGTAACCTAGCCAGGTGGGGGTGTGAGGCCTGGGAGAGCTCGACAGGGAATAAGACAGTGTTGGACAGTTTTAGAGAGTTTTGTTTGGGAGTCTAGGGGTTCTGAGCATTCGAAAAGAAGTGAGTAGTCATTCATAGTTTTTTTAACCTCTCCTTTAATTCTCTTGAGTTTCTTCAATAGTTCTAAAAAAGCATGGTCGTCAATGGTGGTCTTTCAAATGATTTGTGATTTTGGGACTCCTATCAACGCATTTTAGGAGGCTCCATTGCTGTTATACTCAGTGATCTGCGGCTGTCCGATGCCAGAACAACGCTGGCCAGTACTGGGTGTTGCCCTGTAACCTGCTGATGCAGGAGTGTGAGGCCAGGTAGAGAGATCTCGGAATGCTTTGGGGTGGGCATCCCAGGG